AAGGTGATGTGTTAGGATAATTGGCTTACAAAATTATGGAAGCTAAGAAGTCCCACAACTAGCCACCAGCAAACTGGAGACACTGGGAATGCAGGTAGCCTTGCTTAGTCCAAGTCTAAATGCCACAGAATTGGGGAGGCCAATGGTGTAACTGTCAGTCCTGGGCCAAAGACCTGAGAATGCGTGGAACCACTGGCATAAGTCCTGGAATCCAAAGGCTGAAGAGCCTGGAGTTCTGAAGTCCATAGGTAGGAGAAGAGTATACCCACTTAAAGCAAGACAGAGTTTGCCTTTCCTCAGCCTTTGTGTTCTATCTGGGACCCCGGCTAATTAAATGGTGCCCATCACATTCAGGGTGGATCTTTCCGACTTAGTCTACCAACTAACATGCCAATCTTCTCTGGACCCTTACAGACACACCCAGACATAAGGTATTACCAGTTCTCTAAATATTCCTTAATCCAGTCAAGTTGACCCCTAAAATTAACCATCAAAGCCTCCCAGTTGCCAGGTCAAGGCAGCAGTGAGCTGAGATCACACCACTGCATGCCAGCCTGGCTGACAAAGGAGACCCCGTCTCAAAAAAACAAAAAAGAATAGAAAAAAAAAAAAACCTCCCAGTTGCCAAAGGATATGTCTCACATTTTTTTTTTTTTTCACTTTATTCTCTCCCAAAAGCTGTGTTTCAAAAAAGGCCCCTTTATAACAAGCCTGTCCTTTTACAACTTGCATACTTTGAAGTCTCTTCCCTGTAGCTCATGCTCCGATTTGCCTGAAGACTTTCATGGTACTTTCTGATGGTTTTAGATTACTTTTGGCCCTTTCTTTCCTGTCCTCTCCACAGTTTTCCTTGGTTTGCCCTAGTCTTTCTGTGGGATGAGGCTGAAGCTGGTGCATGAGACACACACCAAACTTTTAAATTCATGGTTATTTTAGAGTTCTACTAGTCTCTATTCTCAAGAACTACTGAGCATGGTTTTTCAGCAGATATACTTTTCTACTTTTCCTTTCTTGTTTTGCATAAGTTTTGAAGGAAGTATAATATTAGGAGACCATGTCCATTGTCTCAGGCTACCCACAAGTTCTATATTTTGATTTGATTTCACAATATTAAGAACATACTCCACAAGAGGTATTTGTAAATGGTGGCCTTTTTTTTAAACAGCTCATGTTCCAAATTCCTTATTTTAACAGGTCCTAAGATCTAAGAGAAACAAAAAAGAAGTTTTTTAAGTTAATTGTCTAATAAGGTGTACCAACTGCTTAGCTTTTCTTGACTGATATTAGTCAATTTGGAAGTTGTACAAGAACTGTAGTCAATTTAAACCTTGATTGTTTTGTGGTTGTTTCAATAGTACCTTACAGTTTTGAGATAGATATGTATTTTTTTAAAAGTCAGACACATTGGTGCTTTGTAGTCCATTGTAAGGATACTGTTCTTTCTTTGCGTGATGGGGTATCACTGAAGTATTTTGATCAGAAGAGTGACCTGCATTTAACAGAATCACTGCAAGTGCTATGCTGGAGTGTAGACTGTAGAGAGGAATGGCCTGAAGCAGGACACCAGTAAAGCAGCAGTTGTAATGATGCTAACAAATGTAGGGGTCTCATAACAGGTTAGCCATGGAGGGAGGGAAGGTGATATGATTCTGAATACATTTTGAAGGCAGAGCTCATAGGATATCATGAGGGATTGAACATGGCATTTGAAAGAATAGTTGAGGATAATTCCAAGATTTTTGGCTTGAATAGACAGAAGATACGAAAGCAGCTGATTTGGACAGGAGGTTTAAAGGCATATTTCTGGAAGATTAAGGTTGAGATGCATCTAAGCGGAATTTCAAGTAGGCAGGTAAATATATGAGTTTGAGATTCAAGAGAGAAAACCTAGGATGGAGTTATAAATTTTGGAGTCATTAGCATATAGATGGTTTTTAAGGCCCTGAGACTGGATAAGATCATTAAAGAACTGAGTTGAGAGAGAAAGGGGCTTAGAGGCTGAACTCTGGGCATACTGAGGTTAGGAGATGTGGGGGTTGAGTAGGGAACAGCAAAAGAGACTAGGAAGTGAAAAGACAGCTGGTGAAGTGTAGAGTCGTAGGAGCCAAATGAAGAAAGTACTGACAGGAGAGAGTAACTGTACTTTTTAGGTAAAGGAAATAAGGACTAGGAATTGACCATTGAATTTAGTAACCTGAAAAGCATTAATGACCTTGCCAACTGTAATTTCAGTGGAGCAATGAACTGAAAACATTCAAGTGAGAAGAAGAATTGGAGGCAGCAAGCATAAACAGCACTTTTCATGATTTTCTCATATGCTGTAAGGCAGGTAAAGAAATCCATCGGGATGGAAGCTGAAAGGAGAAGTGGGACAGAGAGGGTATCTTTTGGTTATTTCAATGGGAAAAGTTACAGCAGGCTTATATGCTGTGGGAATGATGCTGTAAAGAAGAGATATTAGTGGTCTGGGCGCGGTGGCTCACGCCTGTAATCCCAGCACTTTGGGAGGCCGAGGCGGGTGGATCACGAGGTCAAGAGATCGAGACCATCCTGGTCAACACGGTGAAACCCCGTCTTTACTAAAACTACAAAACATTAGCTGGGCATGGTGGTGCGTGCCTGTAATCCCAGCGACTCAGGAGGCTGAGGCAGGAGAATTGCCTGAACCCAGGAGGCGGAGGTTGCGGTGAGCCGAGATCGCGCCATTGCACTCCAGCCTGGGTAACAAGAGCGAAACGCCGTCTCCAAAAAAAAAAAAAAAAAAAAGAAAGAAAGAAAGAAGAAGAGATATTAGTGATGGAGTAGGAAGAGGCTTTCTAGATTAATGACTTAGTACAGATAAAGTGACAGACTCCAGTTCACAAATGACGATGGAAGCGCTGACAAGGCCTACTTGCTAAAGATGGGAAAGCAGAGTAAGTGGAGAGGCAGATGTGAGTAAGTGAATAAATGCATGGGAGTACCCTGTGGAAATCCCTTCCGCACCGTTTAGGTGAGAGTAGGATGGAGGCAGAAATAAGGGAAATTAGAAAAAAAGGAAGAGCGGGTGAAAACCATCTACTAGACTGGGTGAGATGGAGGCAGCCTGGAGAATGGTTCTGGGAATTTAGTGTTACTACCAGAAAACTGGTGAGCGGTTTTACATTTTAGAGTGAGACCCGTCAGCATGATGGTGTGTTTTTCTTGAACCACATTCTGCTACACAGAAGTAGGTACAGATAAGTGAGGAGTTGAGAGTGTATAATAGGAACACTTTAAATATTACGAATGACTTGGTCCCACCCACTTTCAGGTATTTTGTTTGGTTGAGGAAGGGCTGGGCTGCTGGATTTTTTTTTAAAGCACCCAAGATAATTCTAAGTGAAGTCGGAGTTGAGTTGCTGAAGTATGGCATAGCTTTTGCCTGAAGCAGTTAGGAGTATGGACAAATTTTTGTGGATTATAAAGCTAAAAAGGTAAGTTTAGCTGTGATTTATTCATTTTTGGATAATCCTGATCTAGAATTTTTGGACTGGGGGAAGTTCCCAAGATGCTTAAAAAGATGAGAGCAAAGAAAATGTCTGACATTTGCTCTGTGGCTTACAGGTGTGCACACGTGCGTGCACGCACACACACACACAGACACACACACACAGAGAGAGAGAGAGAGAGAGAGAGAGAAAGAGAAAGAGAGAAAAAGAAAAGAAAGTGTCTAATATTTGTCATCTCTGCCCCTATCATAGGAAAAGTATCCAGAAAGTTTAGATGTAATATTTTAGGCATTTGAAAATTTTTAAACTTTGTACTAACTTGGGCTGGGCGTGGTGGCTCACGCCTGTAATCCCAGGATTTTGGGAGGCTGAGGCAAGTGGATCACCTGAGGTCAGGAGTTCAAGATCAGCCTGGCCAACATGGTGAAACCCCATCTCTACTAAAAATACACACACACACACACACACACAAATTAGCCAGGCCTAGTGGTGGGGACCAGTAATCTCAGATACTTGGGAAGCTGTGGCAGGAGAATTGCTTGAACCCGGGAGGAGGAGGTTGCAGTGAGCTGATATTGTGCCACTGTATTCCAGCCTGGGCAAAAAGAGTGAAAAAAAATTATATTTAAAAAAAATTATATTAAGTTGGATAGAAACAAATCAGTTTATGAATCTTTAGCAAATAGGTTAAATCATATTTTTTAGAAGATTTTTATGCTGTCAGCCTAAAGCATTTTGTGTGTAAAATTGAAGTCCTGACAGTAAGTAGAGAATATATTTTCATTTTTTGATATGAAACACATTAATAAAGCTATTGAAACATTTTTAGTTTATAGATGGATTACTATAATCCATCAGAGAAAAGGAATAAAAAAAAATGACGCTTTTTCCAAGACATGCAAATTATCTTGCTTTGAACCTAGATTTTGAATAAAATGGTTTCCTAAGTATCTTTTGCTCTGAAGCAGTAAAGACGATGGGAGAGTTTACTGTGATTTTGACAAACGGCAACTTCTTAGTACACAAAAACACAGCTAACGTTCTTCTAATTTTTCGAAAGGAGACATAAAATTTTCAAGTTTAGAGATTCATTTTATCAGCTCAGAAAGTTAAAAATTCACAGTGCTATCTATGTACATAGCAGACAGAGCAAAATAGGTGGGCCAATAAGCAAGTATACATATACTCCTTCTTGTGAAAAGTTATTAAAAACTTGCTTTGAAATAAATATCTATTATTTATTTCTTGTTATGAACAAGGCAGAATTCTCAGTCTTCAAGTCACAGGAGTTTTGAGCAAACTTCCAGCAAGAATTAGATTTCTTCCATTTTGTTCCTTTTTCTACAGAAGAAAAGCAAGAAACCAGATACTGGGGGATATATTGCACAAGTGTGACTTCAAGAAACCCAAGCCAGTGCAAACAATTCAAAAAATAATGGAACCGAAGACAGCGAACCTTTCAGGAATGCTATGGACATTTATCCCCTCTGCTATCATTTATGTTTCTGTAGTCAAGGTTCAGTTATATCGCAGTTGAGACAACTCCCTAGAAGCAATGATCCCTGCTAAAGCTGCTCTAGGAGCACAGGAATTCCTTTGATGAGCTCTAAGAGATTGGTAACAATACCTCCTGAAGGGCCATGTTGCTAGGTAACAGCTTGTTTCCTTGGTCACAGTGAATCCATGGAAGACCCCCAGAAGAGGCTGCAGATTCTTGGTGGACAGCTCTGGTATCCCATCCAGGGAACATGATGAAAAATGTCTTCAGAAAATAGATTTATGAAGGCAAGAGGAATTTTTGCACCCGCAAGACATGTCTGAAAGGTAGGAAAATTAAATTAAAAGTAATCATTGTCATTAGTGGAGAGAGAAAAAAAAGCCGAACAAACGTAGATAGTGTTACCAGATTAAATATCCTTTAGAGACGTAAAGTCATGCAGCCTGTGTTACTGATTATGAGACGCAAACTCAACTGCCACTCTCTCCCCTAATACCATGTAACTGGTTACAAATGCAATGCAGTTTCTGTGATTATTGTTGTGATGGAGACAGGTGGGCTTACTCTTTTAGTAACGGTATGTCTAAGAGACATGGGACTCTTCCAGAAAGCATTTGTGGATTTTCATGAGAAAAATGGGCAAGAGAGCTGAAAGGTAATATTTATTAGTGTTTCTGTTTACATGAAATTACTATCATAAAAACAGGACTTATACCAGCTCATTAAAGCCATAAATTAGATTAAATAGAGGCCAAAACCCAGTATTTGTTTTCTTACTCCTAAATTTCACAGCGGTTTCATAAGTGTTTCTCAAACATGCTGATAATTAAACAATATACAGTTAGAGGGTTTGCAGGTTTCTTGAATTGTTTTTGTTTTTACATTAGTATAAAACCCAGCTCTCGCATTTTAAAAATAATATTTTCATCTTCAGTTTTCAAGATTAAGTATATCGTGGTTTTATAAAAGTGTATGAAACTTACTTATAGCTTCCATTTACTACCTATAATTAAGAAATGAATTGTGTTTAGGTAAGGGATTAGAATATCAAAGGAGTGATAGAAGATCTATTTAGTCAACTCTGCATATCTCAAACAGTGTCAAGGTACTTGATTTTAATGTTAAAAATTAAATGTGTATTAATTTGGAGAAATTAGCACACAATAGTTTAAAATGGATAGTCGTTCTGTGCAGAATTGTAAACTTCATTTTTTCTCTGCTTGCTAAAACTCCTTTAATACACTAACAGGAGAAACTTTATTTGTTCCGTATAAAATAATCTTTACTATCAATATTGTTATTTCTCAACTAATACATCTTTATAAAATGATTTTAGAGACAGCCTAAAAAGTGATACCCAGGATGCAACTTATTTTTATTTTTTTTTTATTTTTTATTTTTGGATACACAGTCTCAGTCTATCACTCAGGTTGGAGTGCAGTGGCACAATCTCGGCTCATTACAGCCTCTGTTTCCCAGGTTCAAGCTATTCTTGTGCCTCAGCCTCCCGAGTAACTGGGATTACAGGCCTGTGGGACCACACCTGGCTAATTTTTGTATTTTTAGTAGATACAGGGTTTCACCAAGTTGTCAGGCCATTCTCAGCCTCGTGAGTTCAGGCAATCCACCCACCTGAGCCTCCCAAAGTGCTGGGATTACAGACATGAGCCACCACACCCGGCTTACACCAAGGATACAACTTAAACTGTAATCTTCAATTTGTGAAAGGCAAAAAAAGAAAAGATGAAAGGAAGGAAGGAGAAAAGAAAAGGAGAGAGTAAGAGAGAGAAGGAAGGAGAAAAGTTTATTTGATGCCAGTATTTCATCAATCACATTTCTGCACATCATGAAACAAGAACCTTATTCAGCCCACCTTCCTAAACCACAGTCAATGTCATTTGGCATTTTATAGTTTTATTTCTGCTAGCAAGATCTACCTCAGTCACATATTGTCTTTTAGTATCTATATTCTTCTAGCTCATAGTGTTGTATGTGGTTAAATTTTCAAAGTTGTAACAACATAGGGAGTAGTAGTTATTCCTCAAGTATTGAAAACCACCTAAGCAGCAGCTATAAATGTTGTTACAATAAAGCTCTAAAAATTTCATGGAGAGAACATGGAGATAGTTCAGTCTATCTTCATTGGTTCTGTTGAGTAATCTTTCACTTCTATAAATGTCAGTGAACCCACATGTAGCCATTGAAATTTACAAGTTTTTCGTCTAGAGAAGTATTATAGGTGTTTGTTCTTTTAGCTTTGTTGTACCTTAATTTGGGGGCCTATAAATGTTTATAAGAATGTGTGTGGGGCTAATAGGGACCTGCAAAATTTATAAGAATAAAAATTGAGTCACATAAAATCTGACTCATTCAGACTGAGGTACAGAAAAAGCAATTGCAATTGTGATTTTTTCAAAATTGAAATTTATTGTTGTATGCTTTTAGAATCAACAATCTAAATCATTTAGATTAAAATCCTAGACTTTGGGGTAACAAATATTTTTGGAATATCTCCAAAACACCTAGCTTTTCAGAATAGTTTATTGATAAATATTTACTCAATTTATGTGTTTAGTTTTAGAAACTTAATTTAAAGCTATCAGTATGTAGTAATAATCTTCAAATTAAAACATCTAGCAAATTTGCCAGCTTAGAAATTAACCACTTGGCATATCAAACTTCTTCCTGACTTTATGATAACCTCAGAGTACTTTCAGTTATCTCATTACCGTGTCTGACACGCAAAGTACAATCATTATCCATTTTACAAACAAAATACAAGCAGAGAAAGGACAGAAATTCTGGGTTTTTAAAAGAAAAAAAATGGTCTAAGAAATCAAAGAGGCTGAATTTATCTTTCCTTTCATCCAAATTTAATGCTATAGCGTTCATTGTAATTCTCTTCTAGCCCATGCTTCAGAAGTACCTGGCTTCACTGACTTTGAGACTCTGGCTCAGTATTTTTTTGGAGGGGAGTAGGAGGCTGAGTGATTGGAAAGAGTAGTGCCCTTTGCCAACTGAAACGCTTTGCTAACGGAAAAATAAAGTTCAACATGCTCTCCTTCCTTTTTTCCTAAATACAAAGCTGTCAGGCTGAAGCAATGAATATAAATGGAACATTTAGAAGCTGAGTTGTATTCTATACTGTTTTGACAATCCTACATGTCTTAAAGGGGCTCCATGGCCTGTGTATGATGTGTGCTCAACATATCTTTATGCGACTTAAGAGCTCAACTTCACCTCAGAAACAGGGCCATCTGTCACTTCCTCCTTCACTCCCCTTACAAAGTTACACAATCACCAACTTGACATTTTAATTAAACAGATAGCAACCGTTGCCACAGACAATTTATGAGGCTTAGAAATTTGTGATTGTAAAGAACATTGCAATCTTCTGATGAAAGGGCTCATGAATTGATAAGTTTTATTGTTGTTCATCCAGTGGGCTCAGCTCACCTGATTCCTTTTTGCTAGCCGTTCTACACTTTTTTTCAACCAAGACTAGATGGCCAATTCAGATAATGCCAGCTATTTTAAAGACACTATAAATCATGGCTGACAAATGCTGTACAGTTTTAGCCATGGCACTGTCTCCATGGCAGCTTTATATTGGAACATTAATAAAATTAATTCCTCTTTCATAAAGGTTTAGATTTGTAATTTATGATAACTGTTTGTTCACTGCAGGTAGAAAGATTAAAACTGAGTAAACCAATATACCAACTAAACTGCATTTGTCTGGTTTTATTTTTCGGGGGAAAGAGGGGCAGGAGCATTTAAAAAACAGTTTGATGTTATCTGGAATAATGTTCTCATAGGTTCTACTACTGAAGGCCTAATTTTTGTTTTCGGCAAGTAACAACTGCTTGAATTTACATGTTCTATTAACTAGTACAATTATTTATATGTGTTTAAGTGATTAGAATAAGAAAAATCAATGTTAATGATTTTTCTTAACAACTGCACCCTGATAGTGATAGATCTCTACAGTTATTTAAGGAATTATCTGCATCTCGTATGAATTCTAGCAGTTAAGACGACTGGTTAATTACTAATGTAACTTGGGCAAGTTACCCTGTCTCTCTGTGCCTACATTTCCTCATCTATAAAGTTAAATGTTAATTATTTCATTACGTGATTGGAATGATTAAATGAGTTAATTCATGTAAATCTCTTAGTATCGTGCCTACCACATAGCAAATGTCAATAAATAAAAACTATAAAAGTATGATTTTAGTAATAACAATACTTGCCATTGTAGCAGTAATATTATAAAACAAAACACCCTATCCCTGAGGCATAGTCCACATTTTCATCTGAATATTAAAGATACAGAACTGAGGATCAGAGATGATGCTAAGTGCCTTGACCAGGGTGTGGTACCTGGAGTAATTTAAGAATGTGAGAAAAGGAATCCAGACTTTGGGGCCTACAAGTAGATTTCATACTCAAAGACAATCAGACTGGTCGTCTGTTAGTTGGAATTTTCTTAGCTGAAACACTATCATTCTTCAATTCATTCTGAAAAAAATGAAATGCATTGAGAGAGGAAAAGAAGGAAGGAAGGAGAGAGAGAGGGGGAGAAAGCTGGTAAGGGTGTCAGCTGACTATGTACCTGTATTACTAAAATTTTAATTACCTTCTATTATTAATAAATGCCTGGTCATTACTGGGGTAATGCCATAAAGAGTTCTAGTTTAAACCAGAAAGAAATCTAATGTAAACTAAGATAATGAGATAATTTTCACTTATACTTTTAAACTTAATTTCACCTTAAGGTTGTTATGCTTATCTTGCAAAACTACACAAGAAGGTGTAATAAAAACCCAATCAACTAAATCTTTCTTATCAGATCTTGTAATTATATGAACTTTATTTTCCTTGTGTCCTACTTTAAGGAGATTGTATAAAACAATAATGCCACATCTCATACTTTAGATTAAAACACAGAGGGAGGGAGACTTCCAGGTTATTCTATTAACCCAACCCCTCATTGTTTAACTGTCACTGGTATTTATAATCACAAGACACAAGTCACTGAAGGAAGATTTATCCATATCCATTGTCCTTATTTTTCTTATTTTGGCATAAAAAGGCTAGCATATTTTAGTAAAGACAAATGAACCCAAAAGTCAGTTAAACTTTCATTCCTGTTAATCCTCTGATTTATTATTCTATTTTCCCCTCAAGTTTTTTCTCATAATTATTGGCTAAAAATCCAGTTTTAGATAGCAGGATTTATCTGCTTCAGAAATAATGAAATTCAGAAATTGTGTTTTTCTCATGTTTGTTAATTTGTTTTTATGGCATGATGCTTTCTGATAATTTCAAAAAGCAGTATCTAAACTGTTAAAGAATTGCTCAAGTGAGAAAAAAATGAAATAAATACATATGTTATGATATTTTTACATAATTAACACCAAATTTTTGACTTTTGAATTTAGTGGCAGATAGAGAAATAATTTTCTCCTTGATCATAGGTCATTTAAAAAAGTTTAATGGCTCAGTAATGATATTTTAGAATATGATGCTGTTTAAAAGAATGATCCTGTTTTAGAATATAATGGTTGTGCTCTTCTATTGTACAAGCTCAGTTAAGAAGTGAAAAAATAAAACATGTTTCTACATTGTACTTCATGAAGGCAGCCTTAATAAACAAATTATGTGTAGTTTCCTATCAGTAAAATTGCTATTAGGGTCATTATAAATGTACTAATATAGAATCTTTCTCTTAAGATTTTAGAGATTGAAAAATAATCTACCAAGAGAAAAAAAGAGGCCATAAATATAGAAAGATGTGATTCTAGTTTCAATTTACACACATAAAAATATTTAGATCAAAATTTTTAAAATTAGTGGCTTAACAGCATGTACAGCATCAATTACAGAAAGAGAAACTTATCACTATTTCTAAGGAGAAAGGGAAAGGTCTCAGAGCAATGAATATTAAGCCAGAGAACTGGTGTAAAAGAACAGAAAATATATTTTACAGCTCAGTAGTATAAATATAGGAATACAAGGAGAATTGAAGTGTTGTTACATGAAAGGTTGAGTGGCATTCCAAAGTGAGTAAAATTAGTTAAAGAACCTGATATTTTAAGTTGTTTGCCACTAATCTGAGGAAATATAACAGGCTTAGGGAAAATCTCAAAGTTCCAGAATCCAGGAGAGACCAACAGAGATTTTAAGAATGCTTGTACTTGCCAAATCTGCAGCTGTAGCTCCACTAGGCAAGCTGTTCCAGCATGAGAGCTGTCCTGCTTGGTATCTTATAAGCGTGTGTGTGTGTGTGCGCGCGCACACGCGCTCGCATGTGTTTTCACATATATTATTAGATGCTTTTTCTAAGATACTGTCTATGTCGACACCCTTACCTTTCAGAAGAATGTCTCAAGTGACCATTAGCCATAAAAATTTGGTTAGAACTATGAAGAGTTAAAAGTCCTTCTAAAATCTATGATATTATCTCTCTTTCAAGGGAAAACTTTATGATTATAATTTGTTTTTGTTGGTTCTGTTTTTTGGTTGGTTTTTAAAAATTTTTTAATTTTTATTTTTTGAGGGAATCTCCGTCTCCCAGGCTGGAGTGTAGTAGCATGATCTTAGCTCACTGCAACCTCTGCCTCTCAGGTTCAAGCGATTCTTCTCCCTCAGCCTCCTGAGAAGCTGGGATTATAGGCCCACCCACCACACCCAGCTAATTTTTGAATTTTTAGTAGAGACGGGGTTTTACCACGTTGGCCAGTCTGGTCTTGAACTGCTGACCTAGTGATGTGACGGCCTCAGCCTCCCAGAGTGTTGGGATTACAGGCCTGAGTCACTGTGCCCAGCCTGTTACTGTTTTAAACAAGAATATTTACATTTTAAAACTTTAAAACATATGAACACTTTAAGCATTTTCTTTTATTCAGTTCCTCAGGTCAAAATACAAGTAGTCAAGAGATTTGTCCATCTAATTCATCATACTACTCTGATCCAAGTGAGACCCACATTGGGTCAGCTCCATCAAGGAGAGGAACATTTCACCTGCGTTTGGATTCTGGAATATCATCCTTGGTAAATACTTTAAATTAACTCTTTACCTGATTAAGTTTATAAAACATATTTTGGTATTTAGCATTTAAAAATAAGTGTATTAGCTGTTCACCCCTACCTTTGTAATTGTGAGAGGAGAAATGAAAGGTTGATACTCTCAGTCCCAATTAAAAGAGAGACGAAAAAAAAAGAAAGAAGTTGGCGTGGAGGAAGGAAGATCAAAAAGGAGAAGGAGATGAGTAGAAAAGGTAATGACTCTTTAAACCAAAATGGCGCTCTTTCCTTTCTCCTCCTGAGTGCAAATTCTGTCTCTAGTCTGAGATTTACTTTCCTTTCTTTCTGGAATTTCCTTTGTCTGTGAGATACATTTTTCTTTTCTCCCAGACTCACTTGTAAGACATTCTCTCTAAGCCATCTAACGGAAATCATACATGCCTTTCCTCCCTTCCCTTTATACATAATTATTCCAGGCATCCCACTGGATTAAGATGAGTTATTAATATGTCTACCTCCCAAATTGTAGAAAGTTTTTCCAAGCACAACTATTCAACATTGTATCCCCAGTGTCTAAGAGAGAGCCTGACATATAACGTGGTAAAATATATTTTTTTGAATATAATGAAGCATGCTAGCATCAAACATTTATTGAACAATACATTAATCAATTGGCCTATCAGAATTTAAAAAAAGAAAAAGAAAAAACTACAGGACAAGACACAAATATTCACTGTTTCTTTAGGAAGGAAAAACTGTCACACATATCTGCACCAGTCTGAAAACCTTACACAGAAATAAATGAAAACCTGCAGCAGCTCATTTTCCTATAATGTCAGAAGTTTCAAAATCAACCACTTAGCTCCTTTAAAAAACAAACAGGCGTTTTGTACGAAAGTAGATGTCTGGTGAAAAAGAAAAAGTTTCCTCTTGAATACAGCTTTAGCTTAGAACAATTTTTCTTTTCCCAGCACTAGTCTCGTAAGATAGCACAGAGGCATTGGGTGGCAATCCTAGGAAACTTAACTTCCAAGAAATTTTTATTCTATAATAGAAACAAGAAAAGAAAAATTCCAAAAGCACATAACATGCTGGGAAAGAGGCTTTCATAACCGTATAAATTGAACAGCCAAGAGTAGGTTGTGGGCTATATTCCTTAATAATCTAAAATGTTTTGTGTTGATTGTTTTCCTAAAAGAATAGTACAAAAGGATGAGTAATTCCTTGAAAGCAAACCCTCAAACTATCTCTAAGAACTGCCCAAGCATAAGTTAACTTTTTAGTGTTGCTATTAATAAGCTTTTGTTAGTGTACTATTTTTTAAATGAAGATATTGGGATATTTACTGAAGCAATCAAGGTCATTCAGTGAGTAAGTAATGCAGCTAACACATCAAAGTTAAATTATTATTAAAAAACCAACTCTTTTCAACTTATTTTGGGGCAGCACTTTCCAAATGCTGCTCTAAAGAATAGAGTATTTGTTCCAAACACTTAATATTTTTTAAACTAAATATTCTGAGTTTGTTTGTACACATGTATAACTTTGGTTAAAAGAAGAATGAATCTGTTGCAAAATTTAACATAATATTCTTTACAAGTAATATGCCTTTTGTTTGTGTTAACCCTGAAATGATCACAAGTTATATAAAATACTGAAATTAGGATCGACTACAACCTCAATGTTAGTAAACAATTAAAATGGTCCCAAATGTGATCCTGGCACTTGTTCCATTTGGTAATATACTGTCCAGAGCAAGATGGCTATACCCGAAATATTTCATTCAGTTTGAACTACACATCTTAAGAGCAATGTCAGTAAGTTGAAACTCTTTCCAAGAATAACCACCAAAATGTTTACTAATTTATAAACCATTATCTATGATTAATAAATGTCTTAGAAAGAGAATAACAACTATTATTAAACATTTAAAACAGTAATCATATGTGGAGGGATTCTCTGTGGAGCCTTAAAAAATGTAACTTGTACAATTGGAGCAAGTTAGAAGGATTATATAATCAACAGAAGACATCTTAATTAGAACTGTTATAAATGGAATGAGACTGCTCATGAGATATTCAATAAATATTAAAGGACAATTTATACAAATTGGCTTAAAGGAGATCATGAATGGATACATATTTATTCATGATGTCATTTACCATCAAAAGTAAATCAGTTGCAGATGTTGGGGACGCAAAGTTGAATAAGAACACATAATTTAGATTGGACTAAGATGATTTCCATGAACACACCACTAGATATTTGGAGTTCAATTTGGCTAAGTGTTTGGCATGGATTTGCATTACTTTTACACATGGAAGTAAGTGAACTACATATTGCCAGATGTTATATATTTCTCTTCTCTCTTATTTTAAAGCTTCTTTCAGATTCTTGTAAGTACCTCACTTGGCACAAGGTAGAACAACATGACATTCAAGGAAGTCAACTGCGTTGCCCAAGAGTAAGAGAAGGTAAAAGAATAAATGTGTGCCTTTTTTTGTGTACATCCCCTGAGTAGAATTTTTTGTGGATTAAAAGACATTACTTGAAGAAAGAAAAAGACATCATTTGGAGATAAAATTTTCCTTTTTCAAGACTATAGAATTGTTGATATGTGAAGCCACCTTTGAAAGCATATTCTTATAACTGATTATATAAATAACATTCGGCATTATTGGAAAAAATTGAAAGATAAAGAAGAACCTGTAACCAACTATCCAGAATAACCACTCTGACTTTCGTTTCCATTTACTCTTTTGTTGTAAAATATATACATATATATACATACGCACATGAAATTTTTTTTCACTTAAAATAAGCATTTCTTCCATTCCATTAAACAGTACCCAAATCATACTTTTTAAAGCTTACATAATTTTCTATCATATGAATATCATTAAATGTATTTAACCAATATTCTTTGTTGAAAATTTAGTTTACTATTTTTTATAACAATGTTATTCACAATGTATATATCCCTCTCAATATATACATCTGTATATATACATCTACATATTGATATATATATATATATATATATATATATATATATATACACACACACAGAGAGAGAGAGAGAGAGATAGAGAGATAAGTAGATACTTATTATAGGAGTCGCATAATTGTAGAGACTGAGAAGTCCTACAATATGCCTCCTGTAAGCTGGAGAAACAGGGAAGCCGGTGGTATAATTTGGTCTGTGTCTGAAGATCTGAAAATCAGGAGGCTGATAGTGACACTCTATCAGGGTCTATCAGAGCCCTCAATGGGTTGCAAGATGCCTGCCCACATTGGCGAGGTCAAATCTTTGCTCAGGTTGCTGATTCAAATGCCCATCTCTTCCAGCTACACCCTCACAGATGGATAATTTTAGGTGTCAACTTGATTGCATTAAAGAATAACTAGATAAACTGGTAAGGCACTATTTCTGGGATTGTCTGTGAGGGTGTTTCTGGCATAGATTGGCATTTGAACCAATGGATTGAGTAAGAAGATCTGCCCTCACTGAGTGTGGGTGGGCACTATCTAAGTGGTTGGACCCAGGGAGAACAAAAATGCAGACAAACTGAATTTTCTTTCTCTTTTGGAGTTGGGACAATGATCTCCTGCCCTTGGACATGAGAACTCAGACGTCTTTGCTTTTGGACTGTAGGACTTGGATCAGCAGGCCGTCAGACTCTCAGGCATTCTCAGGTGTCACACTCAGTGACACCATCAGCTCTCCCATTTCTTAGACCTTTTGACTCAGACTGTGACACCACTGGCTTCATGGGTTCTCCAGCCTGCAGACAGCATACTGTGGGACATCTCAGGCTCCATCATTATATAAGCCAATTCCTATAATGACCCCCCTCTTCTCTCTCTCTCTCTCTCATATTGGTTCTGTTTCTCAGGAGAACCCTGACTAATACACAGACATACCCAGGGACAATGTCTCACCTGTTATCTGAGTATTCCTTAATTCAGTCAAGTTAATATCTAAAATTAACCATCACACTAAATGAATCAGGTGGTCTCATTTTACATTTTCACACAGCACTTTAAATTTGGTAGAATAACTGTTTTGCTATTACTGTTTTATTCTATCAGATTATATAAGGGTAATAGTATAACAGTACGAATAACTGCTATCTGCAGTCATTGATATACATAATGTTTGATTGCAAAGAGCAGCTTTCAATAGATTATAAATTCTTAAGAACAGAGACCATGTGTTTCTCATGTCTTTTTTTGCATCCACAAAAGCCAATGAAATAATATTAGACATAATTCCTGCTTCAGGGAGTGTTTAGTTTCTAGGAAACAAATATCTTGGCTATCTTCCATCTGTATTAGTGGACTTGTAATATTGTATATTGTACAATTTTACTATTGATTTAGGAAAAGTGGCTTTAGATCCACTTCTCTGCCCATTTCCCCTCTCAGAGGATCCCCAGATGATGCTTCTTTCGTTTAAACTCAGTTGGCAAAGGAAGGGGAGAACTGAAACTGCATAATTTTCTTGTACTTGGAGTAAAATATGTTCTTATGCTTTAACTCTGTCAGCTCTGTTTGCAGCCAAGCACTGACTCCTATTTTTAAGATGTGAGTAGATAGTACTACTGGGGATAAATTAGAGTTGTCCTTTTGGGACCTTAGAATTTTTTTCCCCTCAAGAGTGAGAAATTGTGGGGAATTAGACAAGAACGACACAAAGAGAAGTGGTGGCTCAGTGTGTCGCATGTGTAAGGAGTCCTCCAGCAAAAGGAAAAGAGAGCTACGTCACAAACTAAAGCAGAAAGGATTTAATTCAGTCCCTAAGCTTCAGTGTGTGAACAAATCATCTTGAGGTGTGTGAAAAGTCAGATTCCTGGGTCCTACTCCCACAGAATCTGATGTAGTTAGTAAGGCATGGAGCCCAGAATCCAGATTTGTAAAAAATTATCGCAGGGAATTCTGTTGTAGATGATTTGAAGGCCATCGTATGAGAAACACTGTTTAAGAGTTATGAGGAAAGGAAGAGAATAAAAAAATTTGAATAGAAAGTGAAAAGGCTGATAAGTACAAACGCTGACATGAGTGTGTGTATGCAGGGGCAGGCGGTTGATAATTGTGGCCATCAGAGAGAGGCAAAAAGAGATTGTATTCCAAGCACACGTGCTGGGTTGAGGTTTAGAGAGAACTGCAGAAATTGGAGATGACGAGAAAATAAAATGTGAGAATAAACTGAAAATGAGCTTGTGCAGAGGATGTCCAAAGGTCTCCTCTCCCTGACTTAAGTGACCAGGTTATGTGCTGAGGTCATCACTCAGCAAAACCAATCCCACGTAATGACCGTGGTGGCCATTCATGCAGAAGACATCATTGCTCTGCAGAGATAAAAGTGCATTTTCCTTCTATAGATCATTAACAACACCCAGTCTCTTGTAAGTGACTGGTCATAAAAGGACCAGAACATGATCACGGGGATGGAAAACACTCAAAAAATCCTATCACCTCAAACCAGGGAGAAAATAGATGTCCCTCCTTCATTGCTCTCAATTTTGTTTAAGTTTGTTTTGTGGCATGGAGAACAAGTGCTTTTCAAAAGCATTTTGAGAAGAATTACCCTCTTTCCAGATTAGATCTTGAAACACCCATCAAAGCTACTTCAGTTGATCTCAATTGCCTCAATCGTACATTCAGGAAGAGTTCACAAGAAAGGAAAGGTTATCTGGTGTGTGATAAACAGCAATTGCTGAAGGCTTCGATTGCCAGATCAAGGCTGACTGAAGTTTTCACAATTAAATAAAGCAGAAGAGTAAACTGCTGGCAGAATTCTTGTAAAGAATAGATTCTTTCCCTTCAAAAATATCCAGAAAGTTAATTCAATGACTGCTATTTTGTGTTACAAATCCAGTGAGGGGACAAAGAACAGGCTGAGAGGGAGCAAGTGAAAGCCAACATTCCTGAACTGTCAGATTTTCCAGACGGTAGTTCAGCTGCTAAGATAGATCTTAAATTACCAACCAAGCCTGAGAAAAAAAAATCCAATTTAATTCAACTCCTCATAGTGGAAGTGAACTTTGGCCTCCAACTTCAAAGAAAGCTTTGAAAGCTACTTTAAAAAGAAATAATTAAAAGAGCAGAAGATCAATAACACTCAAACAAACAATACAGGGAAGAGTTTAATAACTCTGGGTTATCTGGTGCACAGAGAAAGCCACCAAATTTGAAGTGGGGGTGGGGAAAGATAATAACACAGCCTGAAGGTCTCCCTGGTCAATTAGGTGATCATTCCAGTTTTCCATTTCTGTGATTTTTAAATCCAATCACCTCATCAATGAAGATTTCCTAACACAAGGATATTTTATTTGTAAGTTGATTGAGATACGGCCTCATTCAGGGTCAAAGGATTTCCTGGGTGATAAGAGCAGAGTTCATTATTGGAGAAATGACTGAAAGGGAAGGCTACACTCTGACCTCCACGTGCCCCTGAGGGAAAGAACTGATGTTTGTGCCGAAATAACAAAATATCGGACTTTCTCTTTTTGCCTTCCATAAACTATTCACAAATGAACTTATTACTTCTTATCATAGTCCACAAAAGCAAACAGGCTACAAAAGCAAAGTTTTTGATGTCCTCAGTGTCCTTTTTATTCTTTTACCTTTGAAATGAGGGGAGTCACACATTCCAGAAAAACAGAGTAGGGAAAGTATATGCAAATGGTACCAGGTGTGACTCATAGAAATACACCATGATAGAGCTGGTAGGAAACTGAAGTACTTTAGTGTGGGGTTGCTTTCAGGGGCCTGGTTATCATCATATCTGAGTGAAGTTTGCTGGGGAAGCACACTACAGAGTGTAGGGGACTATGGCAATAAAAAAGCCTATATTGGCCTTAAAGTACTGGAAATCAGTATTTTTATAAAGCACCATGAATGTCAAACATGTTTTCTCACCAAATTCAGTTCTTGGTCAGCCCTTGATTCAGGCCTTACCTCTATTTTTTGCCAACATGAAAAACTGAAAATCAGGAAATTAAAATTAGTCATCTGTAGTCCCACATTTACCTACCAACCAATTCCAGACTGGAAACAGGACTTTCTTTCCCTATCCCTGAAAGTTTTGTGAAAACCTTACTTGGAGGATGATAATGTTGGAAAACAATGGGAAATGAGTTCAGAAATGGAAATTGAGGTAAGATTGTGGAAAGCCTTATCCGACAAACTAGGATTTGCAGGCAAGAAGGAATTTCCAAAGTGTTTTGAGTAGTGAGCCCTATGATAAAAGCTATGTTTTAGCAAGGTTGTATGGTAACGTGTGCCATTTATATCAGAGGAGAGAACACTGCAAGCAAGAAGATTCAAGAGAAAGTAATTACAGTTTAAGTGGGAAGACATGAGAACCTAGACATTGAAAAGGAAGGGACAGATTCTCAAAGGGAAAACTGCTAGGATAAGGTGACTTATTGAATTAAGAGACAAAAGAGAAAGAAAATGAGGAATGACTTCACAATCCCCAAAGAGAAAATTATATGAAGATTAAATCATTGTACTAGTGATTGTTCTCACTTGACTGGGCTAGAAATATTTATGTAGAGTTAAAAGTTAATTCTACATGTTGACTTTTTTTTTCTACCATTAATAGAAGTAACTCCCCTCTCCATTTAATAGTCCTAGAAAGTAATTAAATTATCTGTGAACCTTAAAATATATGCCCAGAATTTAAGGCAGGTATATAAAAAATAGAGACATTTTATATTTTAACTGTCACATTTTCATAGTGATGTGCTAAATTAGATTTAAAAATAAATCTATGAGTGAAATTTTAAGCTAAAGGCATGGATAGCATAAAAAAATAATTAGACCATGGATAGCATAAAAAAGAACAATTGAAATTTAAATAATCTATAACCCCAGTTTTTCAAAGCTATATTAATTTTCCTTTTTTAAAAAATGCTTTTTAAAAAGCAAAGCAGATAAAAAAGTAAAATTGCTGATTTGTTTCATATTTCCTCTTTTTTGTGTCACTCATCTTGTTCTAAGAGGGCTGGGTAGTAAGCCTCTCACACACAGCCATAGGCTCCTACAACAGAAGGATATTGAGGAAACTGAGTGGTTTAGATATTTAATAGTCATCTTTTGATTAATTTATTATTGTCATAACTGTATCTGGTTTCGTGTTGTCAAATGAAAGGTTTAGCTCGATTTTCTCAGAAGATAGGAAAGTTATTTGGCAAATTTTTTTTTAAAGTAATTTTCAACCATTAGGAAATTAAAAATGCGGTGGAGTCCTGGATCTTTGTGTCTCCAACCTTTCCCTCAACCAGGTTAGGGAGACAGGAGTGGGCTACATCACTTTATTACTGCTCACACTATGTGGGTCAAATCATGTTTCCCCTAGTCCTGATATCTAGTGGGAGTTTCAAATAACTGGCCAAATATCAAGTGAAGATGCCGGTCCTGCCCCCTAACCATACTTCCAAAATCTCACCTTGTGGTTCTTACCTAGGACCCTCTGAAGAAGGGCACCTTTTCAGACAGCTAGAGTGTGCCTTGCCCCCAAGGAAAAGAGTTCTTGAAAAAAACAAATGGGAAACATGGCTACAAGGAGACTGGGAAGACTGCAAGGTGAGAACTTTAAAGAAAAAAAAAAGCTTATTTTTTCACTGACTTTTTTTCTTTTTTAAAGGCATACATAACAAAACTTTTAGCATCTCTTCAGAGCTTTCTCTACAACTCAGTGGTGGGCTTCTCTATTACTTCTTCCTCCCTTCTTTTCATCATGATACGCCACATATTTTCTAACCATTATTTTAACCTGATATTGCTAAAATTTGACAAAAAGTTTAAAATATTTGAGAACAAAATTGTTAATTTTTTTTAAAAAGTCAAATGTTGGACAAGTCATATCAATGAGTTTATGATGCAGTCTGGAATCCTTTGAACCATGCATCAGGATGAAACTTTTGAGCAGCTAGCTCAAACAAATCTATGCTGGAACAAATCAAATTTTTCACCAGTGAGGGAGCTGGATTGTCATTTCCAGGTACTGAAAATCACCCTGCTGACTGAGCGACAAACACCGAAACATCCCCTGCAGTTAGTCAACCTGACCACTATAAAGTTGTGGCGCTGTCACTACTTCAAGCTTCTGATTCCAGCTGGATCAAATCATGCTTAGGCAGAGGGCTGAAGAGTTAACTGGGAAAGACAAGTGTTGCTGGCAATTAAAAGAATAAGTCAGCTATTCACAACAGAGTGAGAGGCTGATATTTTCGTATCAAGGGATGGAATTATACTTGAAAAGTTTAAGAAGACTTCCAGAAACGAAACAGGGTTTAAAACTCTTTGTTGGCAGGCTCCATGTTTGGATCCCCTTCAAGGAACACTCCCTTGGTAGAAGCCGTTTTTCTCTATCCTGGATTTCCACTCTGGGATCCCCTTCCACACTCTCATGGAAGCCTGTCTTCCCCTCCTAAACTCCATCTCTCTCTATTCCCTTCCACTCAGTGTGGAAGCTGCTTTCCCCTCCTGGATTCCATCTTTGTGGATTCTCTCACTCAGTGTGAGAGTCAGTGGTTTCTCTCTCCTTCTCCTGTTTCTCTCCCTAAATGACTTTCTACGAAAGAAAAGAAAAGAAAAAAGAAAAGAAAGAAAGAAAGAAGAGAGAGAGAGAAAGCTCTCTGTTGAGGACTCCTGATGCCTCCTTTGCTTCACAGACTTATATACCATAGAATTATAAAATTAGGGGATAAGAAGGAGCTTTAGAGAGGGTCTGGTTTAAATTTCTTGTTTTTCGGAAGGAAAAGGAAGTCCAGAAAGAAAACTGACTTGCCCAAAGTTATCCAATTTTTCAGGGAATGAAAAAAAAAATGGAATACCATGTCCCAGTATGGTTCTGTATTTTCAAATTAAGTTATTCATATATGATGAATGGATACAATCTAATAAAAACGTAAACAACACATCTACTTATTTTAAAATTTTAAACAACATACCTAAGGCCCCAACTCCATTCCTAGACTCTCTTTAGGAGTGGTCATTTTGGTGTTTATCGAGGCCAGCTTGGTCAAAGAGCTGCCCACCCAGGCACCACTGAAGGTATTCAGAAACAGACATAGGGATAGACATAGTGCAAAGTGGGACTTTTAGAGCACTTCTAACCTTCCAAACTGACAGCCTCAGAAGCTAACAGCCCTCAGAGCTGAGAGCCTTGAGCAGACGCTGACCCACGTATTTATTCTCTCTCTGAACAGGTGATTATTATTAACAAGCAGATTTTCTGTGTTTTCTCATAGACCCAAGATAAACTAGTCAGGCAGCTGGTACCTGCCTACCATTGATCAAAGGCAAACCAGAAAGCATTCTCCATGAGGGAGCCACGGGGGCAGGGTCACATATCCTGTGCTTAAAGAACTAGTTTAACTGGTGTATGACATAAATATACTGTTTACTACTTTAGAATGTCCTAAGCAGTTTTCTGCTTGGGGGGCTGGCTCAGTTTTCCTTGCCGTCATTCTCAGTAAACAATATAATTCATCACACATGTTAGGACTTGTCCCAGCAGGCGTTTATATGCATTCCTTCATTATACTTGCAACTTAAACCTTGGGTATACTTTAAGGTAAATGGAGCCTTGCCAGTAAATTCATAGAAAAATTAATTGTCCTTTCAATAACTATACTGTAAGAGAAACTCTAAATAAACTCTAAACTATCACAGAAAACTTAGGAAATAGTGATAAATTTTTTAAAAAGTTTCTGAGGAGATAATTTTAATGTATAGGTAATACACAAACTTTTATCATTTTTCAAGTTTCATTTTAAAATAAAGGCCTTAATAATCTTTCTAAAGATAATGTCTATTTTCTTTAAAAAAGCAATTGTTTGACTCAAATTTTTAACAAAGGGATTGTCATTCTATTCAATAATTATTGACAGAAATTGATGGTAAAATATGGAAAAAAAATTAAGTTGACTTTTAGGAATGCATTTTACAAGAGCAGTGCAACCACTGAGAGTGGTAGCAATGTGTTTTATACCAAAGTTACTGACGTTAAAAGTGAAAATAAAACATTCACTATCTTTGAAGCACACCAAGTCATTTTGAAGTATGTATCTCTAGTTAATTTAAACAAAACCATCGTTTTTCTCTTTCAAATGATGTTATCTTACTCTGAAAGTTTTATAAATGTGATTTCTGAGATTTTCAAGTGAGGCTAATGATTACTGATCATGTAAAGCAGTCAGAAGTGCATCTCTTCCATTCTACACCCATAGAAAATCTCAGAATCTGCTTGAGAATCCTGCTCCTCCTCCATACACCCCTGGAACCCTCCCAAACCCTGTATGCTGCTCAGTAATTCTAATTAAGATCTTCACCCTCCCTGTCTTGAGAATTGCTGCAACATAATTGTGTTTGGATGTATGAATACTCTGGAGGACCAAAAAAAAAAAAAAAAAAAAAAAAAAGGTTAAAAACTACTGGTATAATTAATGTATACAATACATTTTAGGTGAATAACTAAAGTTGACCAAAAAAAAAAACCTTATATTTTTCTTTTTATTGGTTTTTCCTCAGAACTTGAACATTTCATTTCAGGATCTGGGGGATCCTTACCAAGTTGAAAATTTTAACAGAATTCTTAGAAGACTAATTCGAGTTGAAACCCTCTGGTTAGTGGATAATTCACTGGTGGACTTAAGTGCCATAAGATTGCCAAGGTATCTGATCTGTAGCACGTGTGGTTACCAGGTTAAAGTCTTTGCTATTTAGATGCATGTGATCATTAGCTGTACATACTGCACCTGGACTGCAGGGTCCAGCCCTGCTGGGTCTAGAGGGTGTTCTCTACAGGTGCGGAGATGAGAGACTGTAGAAATAAAGACACGATACACAGAAATCAAGAGAAAAGGAGTTGGGCCCAGGGGACCACTACCACCAGTATGCGGAGACCGGTAGTGGCCCCGAGTGCCTGGACACTCTGACTTTTATTGGGTACAAAACAGGGGGCAGGGTAGGTAGGGTGAGTCTATTGAGAGGGTCAAGCAAATCACGTGTCTAAGGAACAGGGGCCCAGGGCTTGCAAGTACCCGAAGCAGGGGGCAGCGAAATGCATCTGCACTTTATGTTATGCCCACTAGTAAGAACAAAGGCTTCAAGAAGTATGCTCCTTCTTGCTAGCTACAAAAGAGGAACAGGTGCAGAAGTAGGGAGTGAAAGCAGACACAGATGTAACCAATACAGCACAGCACCACAGAGACAATTAAGCCCCAGGGTAGCTGCGGGTTGGGCTGACTGACAGTCCTCCCACAAGAGCATGGAGAGTGGAGCATTCTCCGACTCGCCCAAGGACAGAGATGTTCCCTTCCAAGGTCGGCTGAGGAGCGGGTGCTTCCCCAAGCACTGGAGCTACCGCAGAGATTTTAGATGCCCTCCAGCAACCCTTATGCGGTGTGACAGAGGGCTTGGTTTCGCATTCAACAGGTTGTCCCTGCTGATGGCCACCAGTCCATGTTGGACAGGTATTAATGCTCTTGCCTTGTGGCCGCATTCCATAGTTTCCCCTATCAGTCCCTGATCACAGCAACTCGAAGTTCCTAGATAATCATGCTTAAAGTACAAGAAGGCTTTAATCAAGTCTTAATGCTCAATAAGGTTCATATCTAATCACTCATGCTACTTATTCCTAACTGTATTCCTTTCTGCACTCTTATTTATTACACAGGAACTGGCCGAGGCTTAGTCTCCTGCTTTGGCACTTATGAGACTTTCCACCCACACTGGACCTATGTGGTCAGGTCTAAAGGTGACACTTTGCACTAAAGTGGCACATATGGCAAGGCAAAAAGAGAAATTTATGTATCAAAATGTCATACTTTAGTAGGAAACATCTATTTTTTCAAATTAATATTTTATTACTAAATTTTAGGTAAATTATTTGTATGCACAGAAAAGTTTGCCATTTTCCTTATGTTATAAACTGGAAAATGCAATTACATTACATACACATTATGGTCGTAAGATAGTAATTTTTAGTCATATTTTTTGAACACCTATGGGGAAAGACTTTAGAAGGTAGTTAAGAATAGTAGGTGTCAGGGTAACATCCTGTTTTTGGAGTGGAGGCTGGTTATCAGATTAAAGATAGAAATAAACTAAAAATAAAAATATATATATTTACAGACTCTTTGGTCTCTCAAGGATTCCAAACTCATATTGTTAAAAATAATCTCTTTCTGCTCAGGGATTGCTTGAGAATCCTTATTACAGGGAGCTGCTATTTGCTTCAGCAAGCAGAATGGGTAGGTGGAGTGAGCTTTGGTGGCAATGAGAAGGGCCAACAGAGGTCCTCATGAGTGAATTAGATGAAGGAAATAGAGCATCCACAAAAAGGAAGGGTAATTTCTAGAGCAGGTTAAGCTACAGTTCTGACCATTGGCTGAGAGAAGGTCACAGAACGAGGCCATTACAGCTGTACACAAAAGGGAAGTAGACAGGAAGTGCCAGGACATGCAACGTGCCTGCATTTCCCCACCTTCAGTCATTTTCAAAGCCTCTTTGAAACTTTAGACACACTTACATAGCATTCTAATTTACTTCTGCTCTTTTTAAATAACCAATATAAAAATACCCAAATAAAAATTTTCGAAAGAAACTTTATATTACTACCATAAATTTAAAAATCAATATCACTGATATTCATTTATTCAGTATTTCTTTTCTTTTCTTTTTTTTTTGGCTAGACCCTCTTCTAGCTACTGGGGATACGATAGTGATGCATTAGTTATGTTTTTATAATACATATTTAAATACACATTATAACATTTAAACACAAAACAAAAATATTAGTCACAAATGCCCATAGTATATTTTAGGAACATTGAACTAGAAGATTATTTACTTATAATATTTGAAGTTGCTTTGATTCAGATCAATAAGCTTTTCAAGCTTTTACTATTTTATTTGAAAAAGAAAAATCACAATCGTTAAAAGACTTGACCCAGTTTCAGTGTTCTCTAGATGCATTTCTTGGTTATTCTTTTCTTTAGAGGTAAGATTTATAATATAAAATTATACAATTTCAAATCAAACTTTACAACTGCCAAATCAACTCATTAGGGAAGAAAAAATCATGGATGCATGTATATTCAAAGCCTCCTTTCCCTATCCCCAGAGAAAGTTGTGTCACCTCCCACCTGCTTTGCCCTGCTTCTCTCCCCTAACATTTCCTGTCGACTGGGGCAATCTATGATGTGGTGAATCTGAGACACTGAAAGGATAAAAGGATACCCACCAAAAAGTGAGATCATGGCTAGTAAACAAGAAAATAATAGATTGCAGAGGAGAATAGGGAGAAAGGAAGCAGGGTAGGAACTTCTTGGACTGGGTTTTCAATGAGAAATTGTCATAGTACTGAAGTGTTCCTGAAGTCTATATGAATTCTGGAAATAAGCAGAAGTCAAAAGTTATCAAAAGTCAGATGAGATCTATATAAAATATATACATGAAGGGGGACTGAAAGGAAACAAAAATACAAATAATAGATACAAAAAATTGCAATGACATCTGGGTGGTTCAAAGGGATTTTTTTTTTCCTAATGCCTGTGTATTGCAGTTCTCTCTTTACAGAACCATCTTTCCCATTAGCAATGACCATTTACCAAGCATCTTTATGGGGCCCAAGGCAAATAAATATGTACCCTGTATTTACCTCATGATATTAAATCCTAACTTATACAGTGTCAGTGATAGATTTTGAATTATTTTCTCTATTTGCACAGTCTTGTACAATTACAGTTTTAAGGCAAAAATATTGAGAAGCAATATCTATCAGGAAAATGTATTCAGTTGAAATGCCTAACACACTACTTTTTAAGAAACGTTTTAGTTTTCTTTTATATTAAAAATGCCTCTTCTGATTTAAAATGCTGTTTTCTCAATATAGACTTTTTTAAATTACAGAAAATTTAAAAAATTCTCACTACTTAAAGACAGCATTCTTCGCAAGTTATTATTTTTGTGTGTGTCTACTTTTATATTGCTGGGATGATATGCAGCTATTCATCCTTTTCATTAGGATATATCAAGAATCCACCATGGGTCAAGTCAGGTACCAAGCATATTCATTAGAAAAGAATGCAGATTCTTATGCTCCACAAGCTTATGGTCTCATGTATCTTGCTTATTTTCTCTTAATATTCTACTATAAATATTTCTCCTTTTTTTGCAAACCATATTTGTCACATAGTTTGCATGTGACAGTCATGTCAGTAACATCACTGTTACTCCGTTGAGTTGTCTAGAGGAGGCATGCTAGTCTTATGTTGGGTTTGGTAGTTAACCATTCTCTTTAGGAGAGAAGTAACAAGATGTTTATGTTTTGTATCCAGCTGCAGAATTTTAAACATGAGCAAAAACCATCTCACATCTTTCAAACAATTGCCAAAGATACCTCAGATAGAGCATTTATCCTTGGCCGAAAACCACATTGAGACTCTGACTGGACTCTCCAGTTTACGGTGCACGCCACTGGAATCCCTTATTCTCAGGAGGAACCCCTGTGAGTTCCACCAAAATTACAGGAAGCGGTAAGGCCCCAAACACCCTAAGTCACCTTTTGCACTTCATTGAATATTATACTTTTAACCATATTTTAAAATATTGTTCCTCTGTTGCTCGAATTTACCAGCAAATAGTTATAGAATCTACTCTACGTTGAACACTTCATGCTTCTGATCTCATCTAAAGACTTTTGAACTGACCTTTCTTTATCTTTTTAAAATTTTATCTTAATACACTTTTTTTTCTTGGTTAACTTATAGTTGCTGTAAGATTTTTAGGCTCCTTCTGTAATGACTTTACCTATACAAAGATGCTTAATTTTAGACTTTCAAATTCTACACATTTTCTCCCACATGCTTAATAGATATTATGTCTTTTAAAGAATTATAAATATGTATGTATATTTTATTAAGTTCTGTGTGACAATTTTATAAATTGTAAATTCTCTGGTTTTACTTTCACTCTTTAGCCCCCAAGGGCAACATTAAGTGAATACAAAGAATTCAGTTTGCTCCAGTGTTGAAAGAGCTCAAAAACCTGCCAAGAAGAAACCATTTTTATTACTTTGTCCCAACTGGGAACATTCCTAATGATAATACTGGAATCTAAACCTTGAAGTGTGCACCCAGTAATATGCCCACCTATTTATCTCCAGCTAATTCCCAGCACCACTAATTAGTGTACTTAGGGGAATTAAAAGGATAAAAAGGGCAACCGAATTCTACAACTTATATTTGCACCCCTATGACTGCAGGTTATCTCCCCTCCCAGTTGAATCTGTCAAACAAAGAGTTAGATCATCTCCACGGTCGATTTCTATTCTATGATTACAATCGTTTGTTTACTTCCATTTCAGTAAAAGACATAGTTTTCACCATCTTATTTTCTCACACTGCTCTGTTCCCATGAACAGCAACTACATTCCAGAAGCCTATATGATGTTAGACTTCACCGCCTGATGTACAATGAACACTTGTCAAAATAGAAATTCTAATCTCTGTTGTTACATAAATCTCATTACTACAATTGTCTCCCCTATAACTGTAGTCTGGAAGCACAATTTCATGTCTGTGATAATAAATTCTTAAATTGCTTTCACATAACAGTGAAAAGTAGCAGCACAGTTGCTACAATATTCAGCTAATATTTAACCATAATAATATTTGGAGGTTTAAATTATATTTTCTATAATCAGAGGAGGTTAAGCTGGACATTTCAACCATCATTCATAAGAAAGAACATTCCTAGTCATAAAATAATTTAATATTATGTATTTCAGTTTTGTTAATTCATATGTGGGGTTTTATAAAGCATTTTGTTCCCAGCTCAGCCACTTGCTTCTCTTCAAAGAATGCCTTACAATAACAGTATTAAAATGAATTGTCTGAAATCTGATATGCCCTGAGGTCTTACTATAATTCTGTCTACAAAATTCATGATGTGGTGTAGAGTTACGAAGGAAAGAGGAATATAATGAGGTTCTTCTGTTTTTCCAGTATTAACTCAATTGGATTAAGTCCAAGGTGTATATAGGCTGACTTTTAAGTTATAAAAAGCCAGGTTATATTGCCTTAGGTAGGGCAGGGTTGTATTGAACAGAAAGATGGGGTCATTTTAAAATATGAGGAAAAGGTTTAAGCATCCACTCATGCTAAGGAACTGAGCTGAAGTCAGAAGTTCATTCAAGTATGAGTTCAGTTACCAAGCCAAAAATCCACAGTGTGAAGACGGTAACAGCATTCATTTTGTCACTGGGTATCTGTGTTGAGGATTTGGGCCAGAGTTTCAAGTGACTCTTTTTACACACCATGTTCAGAATTATTTGAAGTATAAGCTTTTCTTGATCATTATTACCTAGAATTGTCACTGCTTTCCCCTCCTCCTTTGTTTCAGATCCAGAAGACAGCACAATTCAAAAGAGAAAGGACTTAATGATAGAGCTAATATTTTAAGTCCCAGTAGGTTAGAAGGTGGCTCCATTCCTGGGACACCTACAGGCAAACTTCTCTAACATTCTCCAGGAGTCAAACATGATATTAGTTCATTATAGCTTGACTTAAAAAAAAAAATCAGTGGCTAGAAATTCTTGCAGCTTAGTCTGAATTTTGAAGCCTGAAGACGTAGATTTTAATATTTGCGTTGTCATCCAGAGGCTTTATAATTTTGAATAAGTTACTTAAAATGAGGGATAAAAACCAATCTGACAGATTTGTTGTGAGGATTAAAAGAGATGCATAAGAAGTGATTAATGTTAAGAAAATCATGCAGCCAATGGGAGCTTTCAAGGAGGTCAGCACCTTCATTAGTTGACTTAGCATATCTGCTAGGAGGTTTCAATATCTTTCATGAAGGGAAATTCGAATGCCATAGATTTCCCCCAGCCTGAGCCCTCAGAATTCCCAGATCTAGAAAAGCTGTTCATTCTAAAGAAAATGCTGCTTTTTAACACTACTATGTATATGACCACTGTTAACTGGGTTGACCTGAGAGATCTCTTTCTGAACATAGAAGTGACTCCCTAAATTTGAAATATGAGCCTTACAGCACAATATTATTTCCCACTCCCTCTTTTATATTTACCAGCCAGAATTCTTCTTTAATTATCACTAAATATCATGGGCTTGCTTTACTTTCTCTCTGTTTCTAAACTTAAACTTTATAATGAGCACATATATCATGATCTTACTTTTTCTTTTATGGTTAGTTGGTTAAATCCACTCATTGATTTTTTTTTTCCTTATAAGATTGTAAAAACTGGAATGAAATTCTCTTATAAAGACAGACTGTAGGCAGTTCCACTTCTCTGGTCAATATTTACCACTTGCTGGAAGATATATTAGATCCCTGAAAGGGCAAGCTATGACAGGGTCACCAGTTCAATTAACTGAATAATACTTCATTTTAGCTACACTGCAAAGATAAGGAACACAGAATGAAGTGATAGTTATTCATCTTCCTTATCACAATAGGCAAAATCCATTCACATATAAAGAGAATAAGTGAAATAAAATGCTTTTGTTCAATATGGCTTTTTTTTTTTTTTTTTTTTTTTTTTTTTTTTTTTTTTTTTTTTTTTTTTGCTTTAGAGTATTCTCCTGTTTGCCAAACTTAAAAATGCTGGATGGAATCTTGAAGCTACCAGAAGATTGCTCATCACCAGAAACCAATATTTTTTCAAAAATATGTGTTGTATCCTAATGAAATCTGTATAGAAAGAAAGTAATCATCACTGACGCTAAAAGCTAATAAATACAGGAAATGTATTATTGTGCATAGGTGCCAAAGATGGCTGACTTCTGACCACATTCTATTTAACTCAACTGAATTACACCAAGCTCTCATCCTAAAACTTATAGTTACATCCACCCTTCTGAAATATTTAATTACTCTCCAATACACAGGAGGTAATAGGTATAAAAGGAATGTGCATGTGCAACTTAGCACCTCATATCTAATTTTGTGTCCCTAGTTCATTCTTCTCCTGAATGGCCCATGTGTACCAGGTGCAGGATTATCCAGATGGCTCAGCTCAAAACAGTTTCAGGGAATAAATTGTGTAGGGGATACAATTTTCTGAAAGAGAAACATAATGTGAACAACTCCTTTGTTAGAAAATAATTTCTGTGACAGAAAGCCTTTTCAGTTCATGAAGAAAACTTATAAATCAACAAGCCTATCTATCTCCTCACCAGCTCTAATGAATTCTTACATCAGTCAGCTCTACAATATCCAATAAAGGACTTTCCAATTGTCCTTTGAATAAATTGAGGTATTGGAAATATCTAAGAAAACTACTTTTAACTCTTCCTAATCTTCAGGGAGTTCTTCCTTATATTGAGCTGGTTTCTACCTTCTGCAACTTTCGACTAATTATTCAAATCTCTCAAGTGATTATAATTAATTCTATCGTATAGGGATTTTTTTTCTCAGCTTCCAAGTTCTTGAAAATACCCTGATATTTTCTCTTATATTCCAGTGGAAATGTAAATGGGTAAAGTAGGAGTCTGTGGGGTGAGGAGTATGGTGGAAGGGTAGGGGAAAGCTATGAGAAATAACCAAAGCAAGAAAAAAGAATTTTATTTTCTTCAAGTTCTTTATACATCCAAAGTGGAAGATTATCACAATAAATTCCCCATGCCAAATTTTAAAAATTAAGTTAGCAAGCTTGCTTTTTAATTTCTTTAGAGGCCAACTACTTTTAATTATTATTTCTTTCCAGAATAGAATTATCACTAATTGTCATTATAATACTAAACTATGTTAATAAATGCCTATTTTTTTAAAGGCTAATTGCAATCATGAAACCAAATATCTGATTAGTTTTAGAGCTTTGGAGCAGATGTATTGATATTTGAATCATTCAGGTGTATATTTGCTTATCTTTTTTTTCTCTTCAAAATAAGTATTGTATGTGTTCTGTTTATAATTTCTAAATGGTCATTTCAAAATTGATTATACTACTTTACACAAATCCTAGTGAAATTTGTTGCTTAAAAAAATCTTCATTTTCCTATAAATTCCCATTGTCCTTGAGCTATATATATTTCATGGCAATTTTTACTTCATACTTTATATGCTAGTTATTTTTGACAGTGACTACTAAAATGCAAGTTTCTTCAAGGACAGATTCATCTTAGTTCTTTATACTCCTAAAAAAATCAGGGTTTTTCTCAATGACTATTGAGTAGATGAATGAAATTTGAGTGTATAACTTCTTGAAATTATATTTCTAGAGCTGGACAACTTTTAAAAAATACATATCATGAGTCTAAAAAAAATAAGTTACATGGCTGAACAAATATTTTGCGAAAGCCAAAACTGTCATGGAATCATGAACTTGTCTATGGGGCACAGGTTAGCCTTGGGGTTGCTCTGGTCTTCTTTTTTACCCCCTTCTCATGACCAAATCAGCTCAATAGTCAGCAGTTCTATCCTTCCTCTCCTTGTTCCGTCCAAGAAGCTAGAGCTGAACTGCTTCACTGCTTGGCCACTGATTGCTGACATGCTGAGTTTTCCACAGGTGGAATTTTGAAGAGGGCTTTGGTTTTGCTTTTGCCAGTTTTCCTTCCTCCACACTTGAAAAGTGGTAAGGGTATCGGCTTTCTCTCTATCTCTGTCTCTGCCTCTGTCTCTCTGTCTCTCTGTGTCTCTGTCTCTGTCTCTGTCTCTCTCTCTCTCTCTCTCTCTCTCTCTCACACACACACACACACACACACACACACACACACACACACATATTCTTTTTTTTTCTACTCTGCTGCACAGCAGGAGACCTTGCCTTAATCTTGGAAAGTCTACAGCAAGTGGTCTAGGCTGACTCATTGCTAGGCAAATGGAGCAAAAACTCTTTTCTGCTTCTTTGTCTCTGTGTCTTCCAGAGCTGGGAGATACAGCTTTTGTTCTATAGGAGTGACTCTTTCTAATGTCAGCTCAGCAGGATGATGGTCGCTCTTGTATATTCTTTAGGTGTGAGTTCTATCGAATTTCAGCACAATTTACCAGACTTTGTCAGTGGCTTCTGGAGCAGCAAGGACTCAATTTTTAATAAAGTGTTACTTTGTTTAACTGGTCATTGTCATCTTCATTTGTCTCTTTCCAGAAAATTGTGAGAGGTATTTTTCTAGAGAAAGATTTTGGTATTCTCGAGTCCTGTGGCTAAAATGTCATGCTCATCTCACCTTCTCTTAATATTAGAGTATGTGGTTACGCATAAAATACAAATATGCTGATAGTTTCCAATTGAACATTCTATCTTATTTAACTTAAATCAAAACCTACTATAAACCATCAAAACAATATATTGAATAAGTCTCATAGATTCCAGTCATCTGGATTCTCAATCTATTGCCAATATCATCTTAGATAGGTTAAAGATTCCCTATGCATATTGCATTACACAAAAAACTAACAATATAGCAGTTCCTTGTTGCCCAAATGAAGAATTAAAATAAGGAACTAATATAAATGTATCTTTACTGTCACACAGAGCTACAAAATGCAAACAACTGAATATTGGTCTGTATTATTCAGAGTAATTATAGTTTCTTTTTTTTTTTTTTTGGCTTTCTAAAATAAAAACAAAGACACAGCAAGTGACCACCGAGTAAAAGATCTAAGATGGCTTTCAAATGAATTTGTATTAAGTATCCATAGAATATATTGTCCATCATATTTTAGAAGTAGAACCCATTTTGATGAAGAATTGTTTTTAAATGTTATTGACTTCTTTTTGCAAGCAGACACCTGTTCAATGAATACATAGTATATTTTCTCTGCTTTTAAAATCATTATCCACCCATAACACATTTTAAGAAATCTTGATGTCTTTTTCTTTCAGTAATAAACAGAAAATAACTCACTGGTGAAAGAACGTAAATGTGTACAGAGAAAATTAATTTTATTATGTGTTATTGTTCTAATATTCAAAACTTTGGGGGATCGTATCTGCACATCTCTGCCCACATTCTGCCATATTTAACTCTCCCCGGCTCTTCCATCTACCCAAAAGACACTACATAATATAGCTCTGATTTAAAGGGTATTAGCAGCAGGTGAGCCATTAGCTATGAATCAGATACTTTATTTTTTATGGATATCTATATTTTGATAGATAAATATTTTCCAAGGGCAACTAACATTTCTTTAGCAGCTACAATATTCAAGATGCTGGGCTAACCTTTTTAGATCCTGTGCTATTCTATATGTAACTTCTCTCCCTACTTAAAAAAAATTCTAACAGTAAATAAAGCTTTAGGATGGGTGGACCCTCATGTTGTCCCTCTGGTAGACAAAGTTTTCTCCTATAAATCATTTTGCACTTTGACACTAAAATCCACCTGGGAGCAGATATTCTTCTTCCTTGAATTTTGGCTGGCACACAACAGAAAAGAGAGAATAGGATGTAGGTTTGGCAGAAGTGTGACAGTAGGTAGCTATCCAGGTATGAGTGGGCCAGGAAAGGCCTCCCTCCACCCCACCAGGAATGTCAGGCAACCATCAGCTGATGGTGAGGTGGCAGACGATTGTCACCCTACCTCTCCAAAATAATCATTGGTTGTAGCCAGTGCCAGGGCAAGGCAGTTTCCCAACAGATAAAAATGCCTGTTACTAGTGATCAGCAGCTTCCCAATAAGATCTCAGGAACTGGGTGAGTGGGCTTGAGCATGTGCATTAAGAGGCAACATGGTGGTATTTAACTGGTATATGACCTTTCGGGTCATTTCACTGGAAGAGGGAAGAACACCCTAGGGGAGTATGTGTACAGCTCCAGTAAACACACTGCTCATGCCCACCTCTCAAGCACTAGCAGGCTGCCATGTATGCAAGCAGCTTGTGGTATGGGAAGAATAAAAGGAAATGGGATGTAAGACGCTGGAAGTATGCCGGCATATAAAACCCCAAGTCAAAAGCTCAAATTCTGCACTTGACCCCCAAGATGCCCACTTGGCCTTCTTTCAAGTATACTTTAGTTTCTTTTTATTTGTTCTTTAGCTTTTTAATAAACTTCCACTCCTGCTCTAAAACTTGCCTCCATCTCTTCTTCTGCCTTATGCCCCTCAGTTGAATTCTTTCTTTGAGGAGGCAAGAACTGTGGTTGCTGCAAACCCGTATGGATTTGCCACAGGTAAGAGAAGCACAACTGGGCATATACTAGGTGTGATGGTTAATTTTATGTATCAACTTGGTAGGGTAATTGTACCCAGAAATTTGATCAAACATTATTCTGAATGTTTCTGTGAGGATGTTTTTTGGATGAAGGTTACATTTAAATTGGTCAGCTTTGAGTAAAACAGATTGCTCTATGTAATGTAGGTAAGCCTCATCCAATTAGTTAAAGGCCTGAAGGAATAAGACTTCCCCTGCACCCTCTCCCTCTTGCATGAATAAACTTTTCTTAGAAGGTGGCCTTTGGACTGGAACTGCAACATTGGCTCTTCCCTGGGTCTCCTCTGTCGACTGACGCTGTAGATTTTGGATTTGCTAGCCTCCATAATCACATGAGCCAATTCCTTAAAAACTTGTCTCTCTCACTCTCTCTTCTCTCTTCCCTATTGTTTCTGTTTCTCTGAGGAAAACTGACTAATACATCAAGTAGCCAGGCTAAGACACACATCTTTTGTTTGCTTCCAGCATTCTCTAAGAAAGTAGTCATCATTAGTGTTTTACCCTCATTTCTGTATAGCTGGAGATTCCTCTTTCAACATAGCCTGATATTTTCCTCTTCCGTGACTCACTTATACTCCATGTCTGCGTCCAACAGCT